ACAAACCTATATCAACAGGAAGATAGACAGGACAAGATAATTTTAAGTAAAAATGGTACTGTAGCAAAAATATAATAGATCCATTAAATGTAGTAAATTCAATTATTCTCTTATATATGTATGTAAAGACAAGATGAAGTGCTTATTAAGAAAATCATTCACTAATGCCGTGTTAAGTTTAAGTTTGTTGATGCCTCACAGTTCATATGAACACTTGAACATGGAACTTCAGAACTTTGTTAACTTTAAAAAGGTTTACACTCATATTTTCAGCTTTTACTTTCAAGATATTTCTGATGCTTGCAATTTGCAACATGAGCAGAATTTGAACAATCAAAGATAACAGAACATTAGAAAAGCAAAGATTTGAGAAATTGTGTGTATACACTGGCATACATTATTCCATACACTGTTAACACTCTGCTACTTAAATAGCAGACAAAAACAATTTGAAGAATGATCTCGATAAACCTGAATACAGCAACACATCTTTTCAAGGGAATATTATTTCAGCAAATATTTTAATAAGTTCTCTTATTTATTTGGATGTTCCTTTACTAATAATTCTTTTCTATACAAATTTAAAATTTCAACATGCTCAATTCCAACAAAACAAGTGTACTGCTTCATGTCAGACTGCTGTAATAGACTTTCTAAACATTTAAACTATTTTGAGAAAACATTTATGCTTATAAAGATTCCAGAATGACTAATGATATCCTGCAGTATCGACAAATCATCATTAGAATAATGTCATTATATTCAAAACTCTGCTTCTAGTTTTATAAAGAAGATTGTTCCCAGATGCTAGAATGTAGATAATTCATGTTTCTTCAGGGGGTATGTCTGCATCTCCTGTTGAATCACTGGAATAAGCTGATGGGAGAATGGTTTCCTCTTTTTAAATCAAATGCCATTATGCATTTGATTCAGAAGAGATTTCTGAAGAAATAATAGATGCTGTTCTCAACATGCATTACTACAAAAGAAAGCCTCAAGTGAACTGCTCTAAGCAAAAACTCAGGAGTACTCCATCCTCATCCTCCCTGACCTGTAGGACCCTTCACCACTGTTGAACTTGCTGAACTTCTCTCCATTCTTCATTTCCATTTCATCCCCAGATTCCTCTCTAATTATCTCTTCTGCTTTATTCCCAGTACAGTTTTGAAGGTGGCAGGAATTCAGCAGCACAAGATTTGTCATTGGTCCTTACTGCTACTCCTTATCTCTGGGCTATCCCACCTCACAGACATTCTTCTGTGCTGATGAACCACAGATCTACTTTTAAATCCATATCAGAGATGCATAACAGTTATTACCTCAAGCTTAGCATGGCTAAATCAAAACAAACTGAGCTCTGAGCTACCTCCCTTCTTTGCTACTTTTCAGCCATTTTCAAAAACCACAATGTTCTGTGCAACACTCAAGCTCATAGCCTGGGAACAGTCTTTGACTTCTCTCACACCCACACAGAACCTCAGACTTTTGCAGAGACATAATGGCTCAAAGATATCCAGGACAAAGAGATCGGGAGTGTGAATGGAGAGGGACAGCTTCCTCTTACCTCACAATGTGACAACATTCTTTCTTGAGCCTTGACAACAACTTTGTTGGGTGACATCTGTCCAGAATGGTGATGCAATGACGAACCCTTCCCAATCTTACCACCCAAGCATGTCGCTGCTTGGAACTGTTTTGTAAAGTCTCAATCATAGGTCATCTCCACTTTCAGAGCTGCATGGTTGATTCCCTGTGATAATCACAGGAATCCTATGATCACCTATCCAAAGCTCTGACAAGCCAGCAATGCATCAGTTTTCAGTTTTGCTTTCTCTCTTTACTACTGAACGGCAAAGCTCAGAACATTGTGAACAGTGGTGCAAAGTCTAGCTGAAGGCCTGTAACTAGTGGTGCATCTCAGGGGTCAATACTAGGTCCGAGTTTGTTCAACTAACTCATCAGTGGCCTGGATGGTGAGACAGGAGCGTGCCTTCGGCAAGTTTGCTGATGATGCAAAACTGGGAGAAATGGCTGATACACGAGTGTTGCCATTCAAAGGGACCTCAACAGGCTACAGAGATGGATAGAAAGGAACTTCATGAAATTCAACAAAGGGAAGTGGAGAGTGTTGCGCCTAGAGAGTGCACAGAACTGAGAACACAGGCTGGGGACTGACCTGCTGGAAAGCAGCTCTGTGGAGAAAGATCTGGGAGTCCTGGTACACAAGCTGACCATAAACTAGCAATGTGTCTTTGGGGCCAGCATTAGGAAGAGCATTGCCAGCAGGGTGAAGGAGATGATTCTCCCACTCTGCTTCACATTGGTGAGGCCATATCTGGAGTACTATGTCCATTGCTGGGCTCCCCATACAAGAGAGACATGGAACTACTGGAGATAGCCCAGCAAAGGGTTCCTAGGATGATTAAGGAACAGCAGCATCTGTCATTAACTGGGCCTGTTCCAGATGGAGAAGACTGAGGGAGCAATCTTATCAGTGTATACACTGATTTTCAGGGAAGGTGTAAAAAGGATGGGGCCAGACTCTTCTCAGCGGTGCCCAGTGACAGGACAAGGGGCAACAGGCACAGACCGAAACACAGGAAGTTCTGTCTGAACATGAGGAAAAGCTTCTTTACTGTGAGGCTGACAGAGCACTGGAACAGGTTGCCCAGAGAGGTTGTGGAGTCATGATGCAGATGCCATGTACTAAGTGATCCAGCTTGGGTCAGGGGGTTGGACTAGATCTCCAGAGGGCCCTTCCCACCTCAACAGTTCTGTGTTTTAGGTTGCCACTCAATGTGAGGAGCAAATACTCTTAAATACCTTCAAAAATAGCTCAGGGCCTTCCTTCCCATTCTCCTCTGAACACTTCTTTTACACAATGTCCACACGATTTTGTGATTGGGTCCTGCCCAGCCATAATTATTGCATAATATATTGATCAGTACTGTATTTTACTTTTTTTCCGGTGCATTGCTATCTGTACTCAGCAATTCTCTCATGCCGTAGCATTCACACTGTTGGTCAGAGCTTCCTTTCTTCTTGAGCATGTCTAAAACTCCTGGAATCCTGATCCAGAACTATCATGCTAGTTGATACAGAAATACAATACAATACAATAAAATACAATACAATACAATACAACAAAATAAAATAAAAGATCTCCCCTCCCCTGAACCCAAAGCCCAATTCTTGAGCACCTCAAGATTTATATGGGTTTAAGAACAACCCTGCATACACATACTCCTAAAAATTATTTCAGTTGTTCAGAAATATAGACAACCTTAATATACATTACTTTGTAGTATAAGAAAATTCTAGCCACATCAGCTGTACTATTATTCATATATGTAATTAAATTCTAACCTAAATTTGTTATAGGAATATGAAATAGATAATTTTTGTCCTACTCAGTTACCCTTCAACCTCTGTTCTGGCACAACCAATAAAAATGATGATTATGATGTTCCATAAATGCGAGCATCTAAACCCCACAGAATGGACAGAATCCAATCTTTCATACGTGTCTACTATAATGTATATATATACCTGTGTGATCACAAAAACCTGAAAACATTTTAAAAATTGACTCATCTGCTCAATCTTAAGTAACAAAACCAAATTATAAAAAAGTTTAACTACACAAAATTATCAGAGTCTCTTGCCGTGCTAAACAATTATTACAACGTATTTCCCTTCCCTTCAATCAATACGTTATTTAATGCTAAAGACATTGATACTTTATTTTTAAAAAATTGGAAAGATATTAAGTCCTCTTCTTTTAAGAAGAAATGCTGCAAAAAAAAAATTCAATAATTCATTTTACTAAAAATATAAAAAGTATGTTTGAAAGGAAATAGATCCTGTGTTATTTTCATATGCAATAGCAGAGTTTGTAAAAACTTGGGCCAGTGCATTACTAAATGCTTTGCCATTCATTTTCAACTGATCAGGAGATTTCCCACCCTCCCCCAGTTGCTGTAGTTTTCTATTAGGACAACAGTTCTATCGCCCCTGGTTTGTTCCGCTTGAAGTATGTCTGAGGGAAGTCATCTTCTGCTCATGCAAAATGTCTCAAGCAGTAATTAAATTTCTGAGCACTCAAGAATTACTCTTAACAGCTGTTTCACAGACTTACAGATCCAAAAGGATCATTAACATCATACAGTCAAGATTTGTATCCAGCAGATTTCATTTAATAATTCTCTAAAGCCCCAAAACTTGTAATCTAGCAAAAAAAAGAAAGAAATTGCATATAAACCTCAGTTTTTCTCATCTACAGCAGTCTTTAGGGAAAATTATATAAGCATAAGTAAAACATATTTATGAAAAATATTTACTAAAAGGCAAGATCTTTGCATCTGAATGCTTGTTCCACTTTGCTTTTTATTTATTCAGACAATGCTCCTGACTTTGCATTCAGTAGCACAAGACCGAACATTTATTTCCACAACCATAAGTCATTCTCTTTGAACAGAAGTTTCTTTGGTCCTGGCTAGGATCATGATTAGGACGTTCATTTTTCAATGCACATCGTGAAAATAAATGGGATTTTTTTTCTTACTTCTCCCTCAATTTGAGGAATACTATTTGCACACCTATCCAAAAGTTTTCGTTGATAAGGAATCTGGGAAAGAAGTTTCCTTAATTTCCTGCATAACCTTCCTCAAATGAGATTCATTCTAGTGGAACTAGTCAAAAAAGTGAAAGAGAAAGATGGTGAAGAAAAGCTCCAAGTCTTAGTGCCATTTTATAGGGTGGATCTTAAGACAGAAACTCGTAACACTTTCTGCACCAGAACTAATTTCAGGAACTTGCACTCACTCTCACATTTATGACTGTGCACCTACTTGCCCAGTTGTGTTGTGAACAGATTCTGTTTAAAAAAAAAAAAAAGGCACAGAGGAAGGAGGAACGCATTAAGTAAATCTTAACTGCAATTCAGTTCATCGCAGGGCTACAAGGATGATCAGGGGCCTGGAACATCTGCCCTATGAGGAGAGGCTGAGGGAGCTGGGCCTGTTCAGCCTGGAGAAGAGAAGGCTGAGAGGGGACCTGATCAGTGTCTATAAGTACCTCAAGGGAGGCAGTGAGGAGGATGGGGCGGCCTCTTTTCAGTGGTGGCCACTGACAGAACTAGAGGAAACAGCCAGAAACTGAAGCATCAAGGAAAAATTTCTTGACAGTGAGGGTGAGAGAGCACTGGAACAGGCTGCCCCGAGAGGTCGTGGAGAGTCCTTCTCTGGAGATCTT